TATATATATATATATATATATATATATATATATATATATATATGTTTTGATGCTGAGTTGCTGTGCCTGAAATGTTCTGTTAGAATTATATATAGCAAAAAAAAAAGGTTTATGCTTGGATTAGTAATGTGTGGGGAGAGTTGGCCAGTAATCAAAGTTCTCTTATCAAGGTCTTCCATGAAATTGCGTACAAAGCCAAGGACAGACAAGATCTCCTCGCTGGCATTGACGAGTTCTTGGATGAGGTCATTGTCCTCCCTCCTGGAGAATGGGACCCTGCCATCAGGATAGAGCCACCAAAATCCCTGCCATCCTCAGATAAAAGGTAATTGATGTAGGGAGCCCATATTAGCCTGTCACGCTTTCTTTTGCTGAAGACCCACCAATATCCCACATCAAAGTCTGTCACCGTTCCTGTTTTGAAATGACTCAAACAATTGTGAAATAGCATTTCTGAGGCTGTCCCTGAGGTAGTTTGGCAGTTTTTTAAGGGTTAAGTAAAGTAATTTCAGTCTTTCATTGTTAAAAATGACAAGCAGAAACTGCATGTATGTCTTTTTTATATTAGTAGCCAAACCCTTTAAGCCGTGTACAGTGTGTTACATAATGTATTTCACACACAGTCAGGAAGTAGTTTCAAAGGCCAGTTGGCCAGGCCATCCATTCATTCATCCAGTGTAGTGGAGCAGAGCAGCGATTAATTAGATCAATTACATCACTTCTCTTTGGCTTCAGGTGATGTGACAGCAGGCTGCCTCCTCCTCCTGCCACCTCAATCTGTACCAGCCTGCATTACCTATAAAGCAGAGCCGTGTGCCCACAGCAGTCAGTCACACCAGCATAACACATAGTATACACAACACACTACACACACTAGACCTCATACATTCATTTGTGGCTTGTTGAATGTAAACAACAGACTGAACTGGTTACAGTATCTATCTATCTATCTATCTATCTATCTATCTATCTATCTATCTATCTATCTATCTATCTATCTATCTATCTATCTATCTATCTATCTATCTATCTATCTGTCTGTCTGTCTGTCTGTCTGTCTGTCTGTCTGTCTGTCTGTCTGTCTGTCTGTCTGTCTGTCTCTATCATCCATTCATTTGTAAGAAAAAAAACCCATTACAATTAAATTTAGTTATCATCTATTGTCTTATCTTAAGTCCTTTTATCATCTGTCGCTCAGTTCTTTTATTGTTTTCTCTATTGTTTTATCATTTTCATTTGTAAACCAGTAGAGATTTTGGACTATCATCTCTATCGCGGTTACACACTCATGTGACGTTGCTGTGCTGTGGTCACGAAACCGTATCGTTTGCACACGCTTTTAAGCATTGCTGTTTAAAAAATCAAGTGATTTTTAGCCATTGAAATGCAATCATCAGTGAAAGAGAACTCATTTCGCTATATGCATGCGCTGTCTGAGAGATTGTTTCTGAGCGCTGTCAACGCACATGAAGACAGTGCTCATAGAGCACGGGAGTATTGAACTGAGTTATTTTTGCCACTTTGTAGCCTTTGAACGGTTAAATACACACACTTGTATGTATCAAAATGCCATTGTTTGCAAGTATCCTCATAAACACAGTTATTTAGGTCTTAAGTGAAAGCAAACAGCTAAAGGAAAACGTCTCCCCCTGAAGGAGGGAACGGAGACGTCACGTCGGAGGACCGACGAATTGGGATCTCGCTTAGAGGGACCAATCTACTTCGAGTGTAAACTAAACGAGCCAATACACAATGGCATGCGATTATTGCATCCAGCTGCTGCTGATCACAGCGTGAGTATAAGTAGGCAGCAGACGCAGCGCATATTCAGTTTTTCGCGGAGGAGCCGAGCCGATGACCCGGCCGCTCAGCGGTGGTACAGGAGCTGTGGCGACGGGACGTGATGTCTCCGTTCCCTCCTTCAGGGAACGAGGGTTACATACGTAACCGAGACGTTCCCTTTCAGTCGGTCACTCTCGACGTCACGTCGGAGGACCGACGAATTGGGATCCTACCAAAAGGCCACAGCTACCGCCCCTTCCAGTGTCCTGTGGAAGCCATCTACGTCCCTACTTTTTGGCGTAGGCCAGGGCCTGCACAAGAGGACCAGCTACTGCTACTATGGCACTACCCACGGAGTAGACTGGATAACACTGGGGAAACGCACCCGTTCTACTTGGAACAGGGACGTTATGGTACGTACGTTGAGTGAGCTCGCAACCTGAGCGGGCAGGGCACACCCTGTGCCTGATAAGCCAGGGTGATGGCATCCACTCTCCAGTGGGCCATCCTCTGCTTTGAGACGGCATTCCCCTTCTGCCGGCCTCCGTGACAGACAAAGAGCTGGTCAGGAACTTCGGCTCAACCACCTGCAAAAAGGCTCCAATGGGCCCTGCTGTAGTGCCGTGAGCACCAGAGTCAGGTCCCACGAGGGAATAGAGGGTGGCCATGGAGGATTTAACCTTCTCGCCCCCTTAAGGAACCTGACGACCAGGTCATGCTTCCCCAATGACCTCCTTCTACGGGGTCGTGGTTAGCAGCGATTGCAGCGACATAAATTTTAAGGGTGGAGGGAGACAGCCTTCACTCCAACCCTTGCTGCAAAAAGGACAGCACAACTCCGATCGGGCATCTTCGAGGGTCTTCTCGACGAGAAGAACACCACTCAACAAACAGGTTCCACTTCAAGCGTAGGCGCTCTCGCTGAAGTGATGGTGTCAACTACCTCTTGGGGTAGGCCGCTCAGAACCTCTGCGTCCAGGGACTTTCCGGACCTGAAGTTTCCAGAGGTCTGGACGCGGGTGCCAAAGGGTGCCATACACTTGCCTCGTAAGCGCCATTTGAGATGGCCCCGGGCAAGGTTCACTGCCAGCAACTCGAGGCAGCCAGTGCAGTTGGGGCCCCGTCCAAACCCCTGACACTGCAAG